GCCGCTCCCCGCGCCGCCGCCGCCGCCTCCGCAGCCTGCGGCGCGGCGACCGGGCGCTGGGGCCGCGTCCCAACAACCCTCTGCCGCCGACACTTGGCGCGGTGCTCTCAGCGACCGGTAAGTCTGTGCGCCTTCACGTCTTCCGTGCTTGTTGCAAAGTTGTTCTAGTTAAACTCAATAAATTATGCGGTCACGGCGCGTTAAATTTTAGAAAATCAAAACACTGCTTCTGGTGTTACATTTAGATTGCAAACAACCGTCACGAAAACAAACATAGACGTGTCAAGCAAACGCAAAATGACTATACTAAAATGTTCTGTCAAAGCTGTCAGTGACCACGCGGTCGACGCGTTTCTAAATTTAAAACTGTCAAGCAGCCGCAGAATCACGCGCGTTTGGAGCCAGAGTGCGGGAACGGCCGCCGGTGTTTCGGCATGCCTGGACGGTAGCAGGTCACCGCTGAAGCTCGCGTATTGATCGTGTTTGGACGCAGATTTGCGTGCTGCCGGTGATCGGAAATCGGGAGCCATCTTGTGACGTAAGCACATCTGGCACTTCACGCTCTTGCAGAGGCTACGAAGGGGAGGCGCGTCCAATGAAAGTAGAAGTTGTTTTAAGTTCGTAGAAGGAAATGATTTTGCAAGTCATTTACGTCGATGCATATTTCTAAATAAAGGTTAATACATATTTTTTTAATAATTATAATAACGATTGTATACCCAACGAACTATGAACATCGGTTCTGTTCTAATTTTTGAAATCTTACTTTCGCAGACAAACTGTCCCCAACTGAAAATAATATACATTTTCTTCTTCTGATATTCATATTTGCGTTATTTTATGAATGCCACTTATTTCATACATAAAATCCTCTTATTTGCAAACTCGCAGTCAGTGTCAATAAGTCAAAGACATTCTAAACATTTCATGCCTGGTACACAGAAGCATTTCTCAACGCCAGCGACCTCATAAGCAGGAGCTGCAATCCTGTGCAAGCGGCCTGCAGCGGAGCCCTTTCAGGGACATATAATGCTATCGATTCGGTCTCCGCCGCCTGATAACAATACGCCGTCGCGTCGCTTCCCCGCGCAGCGTCGCGCCGCCCCCGCGCCGCAGCAGCGCCGCTCGCAGCACTAAAGCGCGGCCAGTAAATCACAATCCTCAATAGCCATCGCCCTCTCTGTCTCTCGCGCTCCCTCCGCCGCCCAGAAACCCAGCGCGGCACAAAACCGGCTCCCTCCCACGGAGCGGAGCGGAGCAGCGCGGCGCGGCGCGGAGCGGCGCGGCGCGGCCCGGGCTTCTTCCCTTAGGGCGCTCCCCGGCCTGTATACAATAGAATGTAGGGCTCCCCTGCGGGGCAGGCAACCCCCTGTACGTGGCCAACATGGCGGCCGCTCGCAAGGCAGGCGCGCATCCCCTCCGTCGGCCTCTACCTTGCGGCCCCCCACCCGCCCCCCCGCGCCCCGGGCTGGCCCGCTCTCCCCGCGAGGCCGTTCTTTAAGGTTAGCTTTTCAGCGGCGGCCGGCGATGATCCTTTGGGGAAACGCACCCCTTCGCCCGGCGGCGGCGGCAGAGGAGGGGAGGCGATAAAATTTTTCTCAAAGAGAGGATACGTGGCGATCGTGAAGGTAGCCCCCTCGCCGGATTGCGATCGATAGCTCTCTATTCGCGGCATCGATTTCTAGCTGGATCCAATCTTCCTCGCGCACCGCTTGCTTTGCAAAGCTGCGTTGCAGGGATTCTTATTGTGAAAAGACTGAACTTTCATGAACTGATGCAAATATTATGGATTTTAAATTAACTTCAACAGTCATCGTTAATAATACAGCAGATAATTATTATTGTATTTTTTGAGAAACAACACAACATTATTTCGTACGTGAATAATTGAAACAAAAATGTACAATGAAACTTTGGGAAAGCATACACGATTTTCTAGGACTATTAACGAAGAAAGGAAAAAGTAATAAATTATCTGAATCAATGAATTTCGGGGGAAAACTTCAGATTATGTACATATATGAGAATAATTACTTTTATCGCGTGTTCCGACCATGTCAATGGGCGATCAAAACATAAGACGCCATTAATATCCATAGGTGACTCAGTGAACTAATACAGTATTTATGTAAATTAATTGTTGGTTATTGTGCGTTTTTGTTACAGATCACCACAGCAGCTGTGGACATCCTTTTCACTCATCATACAAGTACCTTGCAGTCGATACCGGAAATAATCAAGCTATAAACTAAATCAGAACTTGGTATTCTAGTGTACTGCTATAAACGAGCCTTCCATCAAGGGTTCAACAACTGGTATAGAACTTATTTACAGTAGGCCTCCACAGTTTAGTGGCTCCAATCATATAGGTGGCCTTCGCGCTTCGAATGGACGCCAGTAGCACGTGACTCTAGAAGAGAGTCCGGAAGTCGAGATCCGGAGAAGAGGGAGGAGGGGAGGTTTACGACGCAGCGCGTAGTAAAAGTGCAAAGGGGCGCGAGGAGAGAGGGCGCGTGGGAGGGCAACTTCACCTCTGCGGCGGCGACGGCGGCGGTAGAGGCGGCAACCCGCCACGACAGCTAAGTGGCGTTTTACAGTCGCTAACGCCTCGGCGCTGATTTATGGCAGGCCCTCGAGCGCCGAGAGGCGGTGGTCCCGGGTTCGAGGCGCGCCGCATGCACTCCTGCGCCTCCGCCTCCGCCGCCATCTGCCGGCCGCCAACCACCAACCGCAGGCCTTCCCCGATGCTCCATCTAGGCCCGCCCGCTCTCCACCGCAATTATCGACTTATCTCTCAGCCCTGAATAATTCATCGCTCATCTTTGAGCCTAACAGCTGCCCCGCTGTACAGGGGTATTGGCTTAATTGTATAAAATTACTCTATAATTAGCTTACGTAAGATGGTTCCTAGAAGGTCAGTCGCGTCTCGAGAAAAATAGAGAATGATTTATGTTTAAAATGAGGTAATTGTACTGTGCTGTGTAATTTAGAACCTGTTTTCTTAAGCTGGAACATAGAAACTCCAAAAGAATTTAAAAAGGTTCATGGTGATTTTCAAAATAATGGTAGTAATTAATTATGACATTCTGCAAAATCTGTTGCTTGCACATCGGGCCTCGCGGAAAAGTACTAAACGTCCATTTTCATGCAAACAATCTACATTTTCTCTGAACTCAAATTTATTATGATAAACCAATTTAATCTGTTCTTCCAAGAAGTAATTCAATTTGCAGAAACAGTGTTTTAAAACACATTATTAGTTCCCAAATTTGATCGTATCGAGGGCCGATGGCAAAGAAACAGAGCAGCGCCTCGCGAGGACGACGCGCACGCTGACCTAAGCGAGAGCAGCGACAGGCACGACGAGGGAGCGGTGTCCGCGGCTGCGGCGACGAGGGACGGCGGCCATCGCGACCACCGGCAGCCCTCCCGGAGTGCGCAGGCATGTGCAACCCCCTGTACGTATACTGAATGTATCCTGAGTGTATGTTTATCCGGTATACCTTCAGTATACGTAACAGGAGGCCACACTCGGCAACGCCGCGTGCAGCGACGGCAGCGACGGCGGCGACAGCGGCAACGTCCCAGCGCCAGCGGAAGATGAACGGCGAAGGCTGCTCTCGGCCGGTCCTCGGGCGGAGCGG